ATATATTTGGATACATACTTCATAACCTCATTAAAATATAATCTAAATAAAAGTTTGAACAGAGGTATTGTCCATGGATGGATACTATTCTTCTTAGAAGCTGTTGGTTATTTTTTAATATTTAATATGCATGCATGGATAGAATGTGATTGGATCCAATCCACCCCCCATTCCCTTCCCCCCAGTTCCTCTCCCATCTCTCCAATTTTCCTTCCCAACTTCATGCACTCTCCTTTTGAATTTAATATCTAGAGTCCATTTATTGCTGCCTATATGTACATGAGCCTGGGACCATCCTCTGGAGCATGGGTAGCCTCTCAGGGCACAGGGGGAGGACCAGTATTAGCCATGGATTATTAAATGAAATTTTCAGTTCAGTGCCAGGAGTATTCCTCCCTACAAGTTGTTAGTCAGGGATACACCAGAGACCTCCAAAATTAATATAGGGTATTGCCATTGCTCTTTGTTGCCCAGCAGAACTTGATGGTAAGACCCTATTGCTAAGGACACTGAACACTTTGCTCACAGGGCAGAGAGAAATCAAGCATAGTGCCAGAAGTTGCCACACAGGCTGCTGGGGGAGAAAAGCTATCAAAAGTCTTATCTAGCTGTGAATCTTGTGAGCTACACTAAATGACCCACCCGGCAAAGGTGTACCCTCTAGTGCAACAGTGGTGAGATGGTTGGTTTTAATGTCAATTTGCCACAAATTAGAATCACATGAGAAGAGTCTCACTTGATGAGTTTCCTTAATTGATTAAGGAAGACCCACCCCAAAATTGGGCGGCACCTTCTGATAGCTCAGATAAAAAGGGGTGTGGCAGAAGGGTTATTTTCCTTTTACTTGTTCCGGCCTTTTCTCTTGCTACCAAGTTAATTTTTATACTGTTGCTGTTGCTGCTGCCTCCCTTTGCTGATATCAGAACCAGTGTTTCCAGGCTTCTGTCATTGACTCAGGACCAACAACTCTCCAGGAAGCCTCCAGGTTTGGGGTGGCAGATTGGGACTGCTGAGGCACCTAACCCCCTGGGCTGAGCTACTACCAAGTTCTTGGCTTCTCCTGTGTGAGAAAGCCACTATATGACTACTCCAACTGTTGAAGCACCCAACCCCAAGGACCAAGCAACTACTGGGTTCTCAGCCTCTCAGGTGTGATTCAGTTGTTCCTGCTTCCCCATGAGTTCATCCACAATTTGCAGACAGCTTTGTTCAGTCTGAATACATCTAGAGAATCCTAATACAATCATTATGACTGGTATGAAAGTAACCAATTGCTTTCTAATTGGATTTGAGGCCCACTCCACAGGAGGGAACTTATGCCTGTTTCTGTAAACCCGGTGAGCAGCCCTTGGATGGGGGGGGGGGGTTCAGATGCCTTAAGGGGAAACCTACTACTATTCTTTTGATAAATGTTCATGCTATCAAATTGCTTTCTGAATATCTGTGTTTATACTTATAGATTAGTGTTTTTCCCAGCATCTATTAGAGAAGCATCTTATTGCAGCAGGTGGCAGTTAATATAGAAAACATAACTGGCCCAAGTGTCAAGAATAAGTGATGGTGGAGTACTTGGCCTTAAATGGGACAGCTGCATCACCCCCTCCATGGCTCCGTTCACAGAACATCATGGAAGAGGTGGGAAGAAAGAGCTAGAGGATGTGAAGATGTGCAACAAAAAGATGTCTTCTAGACACGACAGCTATTGCACTCATGAGCTCCCATGCAAGCTGTGATTATCTGTACAAGACCTGCATATCATAAGGCCCATCACCATTTCATCATGGATGGAGGAGGGGGCCCATGAGGTCCCATCCCTCTCTGAGGGACTATTGCCAATTAATGGTTGTTGAGAAAGGGGCTGCCATTTTTTTTGTCTTTTTGAGACAGGGTCTCCCTGTAGCCCCAACTGGCCTGAACTCACTATGTAGACCAGGATGGCCTTGAAATCACAGAGATATGCCTGCCTCTGTCTCCCAAATGCTGGGATTAAAGGCATGCATCACCATGCCTGGTAAGGGGCTCTCATTTTCTTCATTGATGTATCCACTTAGGTAAGTTGCCCTTGCTCTAGTAAATAACCTCCCACCCACCCTCAGGCAAGTTCTAATTAAACTCAGTAAGGTACACACAAAAACATTGCATAAAAGTAGAATGGGGACTTGTTGAAAAGGGTTCTAGCAGGAGAAGAAGAGTGATGAGAAAGGAAATTGAGCATGAAAGCAACTAAAATTCATTATATAAGTGTATGAAACAGTCAAACAAGCAAATTTTAAATGGAAAAAGTCCATGTAGAATTGCATGATGTATGTAGTCTTCAGGAGTTAAAATCACAATGATTTCTTTTCTATAATTAAATAAAAATACTGGCAATAATCTTCTGAAAATATTCACATAATCAAAAAAAATCAAAGATGAGAAAACTATGATAACAAAACATAACTTTTCCTATAACACTGGAAAATATTTATACATTAAATACTGTTTGATTAGGATTGGGGTTGTGCAGTGTGAGGGAAGAGTACTGGGTACAACTTGATTAAAGTTTCTAAATGCAATTTGGAAATCCATATTAAAAGCAGTTCCACTTCCAGGACTTGACCATGGAAAACAAATACAGATATGCACAAGAAAAAATAAGGTGGAGTTACTAGAGTTAATACCCAACATCAACCTCTGGCCTACACACACACACACACACACACACACACACACACACACACACACTTAACTTAAAAAGTGGCCTGGAGCTGGGCGTGGTGGCGCCTGTAGTCCCAGTACTTGGGAGGCAGAGGCAGGCAGATCTCTGTGAGTTCAAGGCCAGCCTGGTCTACATAGTGAGTTCCAGGACAGCTGGGGCTACAGGGAGACCCTGCTTCAAAAAGACCAAAAAGAAAAAAAAAAGGTGGCCTGGAAAGGTAGAGACAAGGATCTCAAGTCTAATTCATCTGTTTGGAGAAGTGCAAACTCTGCTGACCCCTAGGCTTTCCATAGCTTGGGTCGCCTGCTTCCACCAGACATAGACTCAATGAATAGCCACATTGGCAAGAGGGCTACAAATACAGTAATTCATAAAGGTCTCTAGTTCTGCAGTAAATGTTAATATGGTTCTCATGGGTCTCAATCTCATCTCTGATCTTGGAAAATATATGTCACCAGTACTAGTGTGATCTTTGGAGAAAGTTACTCAACCTCCCAGTGAATTCATGTTTGAAGTGTCATAAAAACTGTGAGGTATTAGGACAGTCTGACTGATATACCATGCAGGAATTTACTGGCTAGTAACATAGCTTTCAAAGGTAATCTACTCTCCAAAGCATTCTAATATGTCCCATAAATTATGTGTATTTTCAACTGATGTTTCTGTTATGAAACTCACCCTTTCACCCTAATTTTGAAATAGCTGCAGTCTCTAATTTGAGTACCTGTCTGTAGCTATATGTAATGAATCCTGAGTCATCTAGGATTCTTTCTCTGTAGGTTTCAGTTATCTCTTCTTCCAGTTTACATTTCACAAGCACTTTTTGTCATCTATCTCCTTTATCACTTTTTCATTGTGACTTTATAATGTGACTTTCTTGATCATCATTTCAGAAGAGGGGAGATGAATGCTGAATGAGTTTAAGGGCATGCTTTACCCCGAGTACTCCTTTACTGCTCTCTGTTCATGTAAATGCTTTACTTCAGATATATCACCTTCAGAAACACTTCCCAACAAAAACAGGAAAAGGAAAGTAATTTTCTAGAAAAACAAGACTTTTTTCATCCTCTTGAGCAATGCACCTCTGTTTTTATACATTTGGTCCTGTGTATCTCTTGACCTTATTGCTTTATTGCTTTTAAAGGATTATTTTTAGAATTACATATATTTGTTATATTTACACACTGAATAGGAATTAAAAATGAACGCTTGTCAGACAGGAACCTGTGCCACACTGACATTGCTTTGTGTGCAGACCCACTGTATAAACTGAGGTCCTGTTAGCTTGTTACAGTCTGAGACATGTTTGAATTTGCAGGAATGGCTTTTTTTTTTCAGTCCTTTGTTCTCCTGATTTTTAGTCACAACAGAACTAAAAATTGAGATCTAGTTAATGTACTAAAAAGTTATTTCTTCCTCAAGGACATTAGTCCAGATACAAGGGACATGAAACAACTGTCTGGGGTGGTTTTGACTGTTATCTAAGAGACGCAAGTCATGTTTTAATTCTTAGGATCACTAGTGGCAAAGAAGAGCTGTATAAATGTTGTGTTTGAATGGGTGCTTAGAGTGCCTAATAGTGACTTTCTCTCTGAACACAGATGCATGTCCTGTTTTAACTGTTAATGATGTGGAAATGTTGTTCTGCTTCTACTTTTCACCATTTGTCATCTTGGCAATAAATGCAAGCTCATGAAATGACTTGTTTTAAGAGAAAATGAAACAAAACTAAACTAAACAACAATAACAAAAAACTTGTGTGGTATATAGAGTAATTTAAGTCATTTTAAGATAGGAAAAGATACTGATGGGCTTTGATACAGTATATTTCCACAGGTGTCACTGTGCAAACTAAAAATGAAATGTGTTACAGTTTCAATTATTTTATGCTTATGTAATATAGTCCCAGGTGGTCCTAAGATTGCTTTACTTGACACTCTCAGAAAAAAAAGCCCATATATCTTAGGAATTGATTGAATATTTGTTCTATCTGCCTGGTTATTCAATTTATCATATAAAATTGAATTCTACATATACATGAAATGCTATGAAATCCTGTATCTAGACTGACTTCATTATAGATATAGGATAAAATATGGTTTTTGAAGATTTATTTTTCTCTCAAAATGATAGCACAACCACACAGTACAACTTTGAAACACAGCTATGAAAGGATACACAGGTGTCTCCAAGTTCCATCTCCCCAATCACCCATTATCCTTTCCCTTCTGTAAGGTAATAAAGGTATCAGTTCCTTATAATTCTTTCCAGAAAGAGCTTATGAATACAATCAATTGTGTACTTGCCATTTTACCCTTTTTATATACAAATGGTAAGACATTAGACTCATTGTGCTGCAGCTTGCTTTTCCTACCCAATAACTGATTATCCCATATCACTACAGAAATGATAACTATGTTCTTTGTTCATTTTTTTGTCTATTGAGGAGTTTGTTGTATGGATATATTAGTTTCAGGAAGTAAAATCCAGGTGATGGCATATGGACAGCTTCTAATCTTTTCTTTTCACAAATACATCAAAAATACCACTGTATATTGATGATTTTGTACACATGTGAGTATATGTATTCCTAGAAGTGAAATTGTTGACTTAAAACCCATTTGTGATTTTGATTACTTTTAAATAATTGTCTTTGAATGAGAAGAGTTGCTCCTGGTCTTGCTACTGATAAGACTGATAAGCTTTTCTAACAAAGGAGACATCCCTTCTTATATTTGTTAGTTCTTCCACAGTTTACTTCCCCCAAATCAGGCATCAGGGGAAGCTATGTCATTTTTCTCGCTCCAGCTCCTCCCCCATCTCCAACTGTTCCTCCAACCTGTACAGATTACTTTTTGTAAAGATGGTTTGGCCAAGTGATTCCTTGTTGAAGCCCCTGCCTGTTTCTCCTCAGTCCTCACATGGTCTAGGAAACCTTCTACCTGTCCATCTACTGTTACCATTGTCACAGCTTTCTGTGGTTCTGTACCTCCCTCAGCAGTGTCCTTAGCTTTGTTGCCTCACTTCTGAAGCCTTCAAATATCCTGCAATTGCAGCCCTCTGGTTACAGAGGTCTCCAAACTGTCAGATACAGATACATTCGTTTGTTTCTTTTTCAGCTGTTGCATTTGAGTAAAAACAGATGAAAAGAAAGGCTGACTTTATCCCCATGTTTATAACAGAAGTCAGAACATTCTTTTAAGAACATTAAATTAATATACCTTTCTTTTGGGGTATATTAGACAATATTGCTTTGTTTCCTATTGTGCGGCAAGTTTTGAATTGTGGGTATGGCCTCTTCCATGGGCCTTCTTTCCTGTGTGGGTCCTCTGATGTACAATAAGGTTTGATTTCTGGGTAAAGGCTTTTCCACATTCTGAACATTTATAGGGCTTCTCTCCAGTGTGAGTTCTTTGATGCACAGTGAATGTAGATTTTTCCCTGAATGCTTTGCTACATTCTGTGCATGCATAGGGCTTCTCACCTGTGTGTGTTCTCTGATGGATGATGAGCTGTGATTTCTGGCTGAAAGCTTTCCAACACACAAGGCATTCATAAGGTTTTTCTCCTGTGTGAATTCTCTGATGGATAATGAGCTTTGACTTTTCTCGAAAGGCCTTTCCACACTCATTACACTTATAGGGTTTTACTTCTGTATGAGTTCTTTGATGTATAATGAGATAGGATTTCTGGGAAAATGCTTTTTCACATTCATTGCACTCATAGGGTTTCTCTCCAGTGTGGCCCCGCTGATGTAGCATGAGATAGGATTTCTGAGAGAAGGCTTTCTCACATTCATTACACTCAAATGGCTTCTCTCCTGAATGAGTCCTCTGATGCACACCCAGATTTGATTTTTGGGTGAAAGTTTTTCCACACACATCACACTCATAGGGCTTCTCTCCAGTATGTGTCCTCTGGTGCACAATGAGGGTTGACTTCTCATTGAAAGACTTCCCACATTCAGTACATTTATGAGGTTTCTCTCCTGTGTGAGTTCTCTGATGTATAATGAGTGTTGACTTATCACTAAATGTTTTCTTACACTCATTACATTCATGGGGTTTCTTTCCTGTGTGAGTACTATGGTGTATAATTAGGTCAACTTTTTGAATGAAAGATTCCCCACACTTAGTACACTCATAGGTTTTCTCTCCTGTGTGGGTTTTCTGATGGACGATGAGGTTTGACTTCTGAGTGAAGGCTTTTCCACATTCATTACATTCATAAGGTTTCTCTCCTGTATGAGTTCTGTAATGTATGATGACAGTTGACTTTTCTCTGAAGGCTTTGCCACATTCTGGACATGCAAAGGGCCTCTCTCCTGTATGAGTTCTGAGGTGTATGATGAGCTGAGACTTTTGGCTAAAGGCTTTCCCACATTCAGTACATCCAAATGGTTTCTCTCCTGTATGAGTTCTCCAGTGTACAATGAGGTGTGACTTCTTGCTGAAGGTTTTCTGACATGCAGTACATTCAAAAGGCTTCTCTCCATTTTTAATTCTCTGATGAAGACTAAGACCTTTCTTTTGCCTGAGGGCTTTCTCATATTCTTTATATCCATAGGGTTTAACAATAAAATTAGGTTTTTCATATTCAGCATGGAAGAAAAATTTTGCACATTCATTATCATGTTTATTTTCTGCAGAGCTTCTTATAAATAATTCTAAATTGTCTACCATATTATTTCCAAATGATTCAAATTTATGGGATCTTTGCATTGGAACAACAAGGCTTGTACTCAGATGAAATTTATCTCCAAATTCAGTACAGTCCTGGCCACTCTTGGTGGTAATTATTCTGTTGTCAGGAAATCCAACTTGCATCAATAGATACTTATCTTGGGTATCCTGGTGCTGCCTCTCAAACTGTTCATCAACTTGGGAGACTTCTAGAAAGAAGCATAGTAAAGCATCTGTATACTTTGACACTATGGAATGGACATTCTTCAGAAATGCTCTGCCATGATCCCAACAGGAGGCCTACTTCTACTGACCACCTGAGGTGCAGATCTAGTAGATCCTAAGTGGGGGTTGGCTCCCTCTAAGTGAATCTTGTAGAAGCTCTTCCTATGATTCAGATAACACTTTCATATGATTTCATCAGAGTGCTTCGGGAGAAATGGTCTCTTAGTAAACTCCCATCTACTGCCCTTATTATACCAGGAATAATCTTGAAACCTCAGTCTCTTACCTATGTTTTTATTTCATCTCTTGCCCTCAATTCTTAGATATATAAACCTTTTTTGGTCTTTTTGAGACAGTGTCTCCCTTTAGCCACAGCTGACCTGGATTCTCTATGGAGACCAAGATAGCCTTGAACTCACAGAGATCTGCCTGCCTCTGCCTCCCGAGTACTGGGACTAAAGGTGTGCGCCACCACGCCCAGCTGATATACGAACTTTTGACTAAACCTGACTTACACATTACTTCTACCCAGGAAAAAAATGTGGCATTGTGATTCCTAAACTCAAGCTTACAACCCTGGATCCACATTCTTACAGAATGACAGAAAAATATAGAATAATGAGCTCAAAACAAACCTTGCTCAATCTGGGTTCACAAGTATAACCCTCAACTCATATAGTTCTGAAAACCACTGTCTATGCTATTGCCTATGCCATTTCACTTGAAAATCATGCGTATTTTAACTCCATGACTTTTGCCATGTTTCATTATTTATATAACCCTCCTGCCTTCCATATTTTTCTATATTCAGAATCTTTATAACTTTCAAGAGGCATTTTTATCATTTCATAAAAGCTTACTCTGGTCTTTGTATATAATTTTTTATTAACTTCTAATGTATTTAATCATTGGTACCACTCATTTAGACAGTTAAATGCAAAACTTTGCCTTTAATTTCATATTTCATCACCTGAAAGATGCAAAATATTCCACTTTTAACATCTCTGAATGTTAAAACATCTCCAGATGTACCTTACAATCAATGCCACCGATTAATTAGTGGTAGTACTTCTTGCTTAGTGGCACATTTAAAAGATTGATGGTATCCTAAAGTCAATAAAATATGGTGCCTATTTTTGGCACATATATATGAATTATGTTTTGTAGTTTACTTCTCTCTATTTGTAGTTTACTTCTCTCTAAGATTTTATGTGAAAATCTCCAAGCACGGAGGAAAGGTGAAAGAAATGGAGTATAACTACATTGTAAGTTTCTATTTAGACTTCATAGTACTAGCATTTTCCATAGTAACGAACTTTAAAATAGATCACATAGTTGTGATTTCCCTTCCTGTGACTTCCTTTCTCTAGACAGCAAAGAAAAATTCTTAGCTAGGGATGAGCACTAAATCACACACACACATCACACACACACACACACACACACACACACACACACACACATCACACACACACAAATCACACACACACAACACACATTTGATAGGCATGATTTCCATCAATCAGGAGGCGATGTACTTAGAGGAAGCCAAAACCCATTTACAATCTGGATCTGAACCTCCTTAGGTGGTCAGAGCAGTATGGCCCCTGTGGTTGGATTTATGGGATATCTAGGACTGGAGCAGCTTTTTAGTTGGTGTAATCTATTTGTATCATTTTCCCACCTATAAAACAAGTTATAATAGTGCTCACCTAAATGGGTGCTGAGGGGAGTATTCAAATACTTCCAATAGAGCTGTGTGGCACTAATGAAGTGCATAGAAGTGTTTTCTAAAACAAACTTCTGCTGTCATTATGCATCATAAAGAGGCACTACATTACTATAAAAAGAAATAATGTATATATATGCATATTTATACATATATATAAGATATTCCTTTAATTTTATGTATATGAGTGTATTGCCTACATGTGCGCAAGTGCACCCATGTCATGCAATGCCCGCAGGTCAGAAGAGAGCATTGGATTCCCCTGGAACTGGAGTTATGGTTGGTTGTTAGTCACCACATAGGTGCTGGGAATTGAACCCAGGTCCTCTGCAAGAGCAGCCAGTGCTTTCAACCCCTGAGCCATCTCTCCAGCCCCTATAATGTTCTTAAATACTAAGTGAAAAATGGCAGATAAAACTGTGCATGGTAGACTACCATTTTAAAGAAATAGATGAATGTTTTATATTCATACAAGGCCATGTTGTAAGAAAATAGGAAGATAAACTTTTAAATTCCACTAAAGATTACCTCTGGTAGGAAGAAAAGAGTAGGGTGGAGAGGGAAAAGAGCTGGACTACTCTTTTTAATTTTACATTTACTTATTTTATGTGTAGGGGGCATGCGTGCCATGGTGTAGATATGGAGGTCAGAGGACAACTAGCAGGACTCAGTTCTGTCCTTCCACCCTGTGGGTTCTGGGGATTTATGGGTTCTGGGGATTTAATTCAAGTCACCAGGCTTGGCAAGGAAGTGCCTTTACCCACTGAGCCATCTCCCCTGGACTACTGTCTTTTATCTGTGTGTGTGTGTGTGTGTGTGTGTGTGTGTGTGTGTGTGTGCAATGCCTCTAATTGTTTATTTTCAAATTCCAATAAAATCATTTGGCTTCTGTTTAAAGTATTTCCTTTAAATGAGAAAAGGACCAATGAAGCTAGATAATTTTGTCTTAAATCCTGATCTTTTGTTAACCCCAAGGTGACTACACAGCTAGTGTTTATTATTATTGTGCTCAAATGGCATGACAAGTTATTTTAAATTGGGTAACAAGCCTCTTAAATATTTTTCATTAATTTGGGGCACTTAGGAGTATAAGTTTGAAATGCAATTCCTAGAAATGATTAGTGTTGATATTTTTTCCTTTTTTATTATTATTTTTATGTGTATGCGTGTATTGCCTGCATGTAGGTAAGTGCACCTGTGTCGTGCAATGCCCGCGGAGGACAGAAGAGGCTGTCACATCCCTTGAAACTGGAGTTACCAACAGTTGTTAGCTGCCATGTGGGTGCTGGGATTTGAACCTGGGTCTTCCACAAGAACAGCCAGTGTTCTTAACCACTGAGCCATCTCTCCAGCCCCTATTTTTTCCTTTTAAAAATGAGCATTGCTTCTTAAAAAAAAAAAAAAGAACATGATTACATTGAAAAACTTTGTATAGGTTGGAGAATTTGGAAGGGGAATGAATGCAAAACTCATATTACAGCAACAGTGAGAAATTTCACAGTACTGTTGAAGCATGGTAGAACAGTTTTGTCATTAAATAATACTAAAACTTACAGTAGACACATAAAATTGCAAATTTTACATGCTAAAATACAATTATATATTTTTAGTTTGAGATATATCACTTTATTTTTTAAAATTTTTTATTGAATTTTTGTGTATTTCATAAGAGCATCTTAATAATCTTTATACCCCCTTCCCCATTGGTTCCCTCCCATACCCCCCCAGAGTTAGTTATATCACTTTAGTCATTAAAGTACTTAAAAATTTTAACTTCCCAGACTGTGATTTTTATCTCCAGAAGTTCAATCTGGTGTTTTACGTTTTCTATAGGGCACAGGTGAAGGTACACTGGGGCTATAGAAAAGCAATAGAAAGATGATGGAAAAACTTCTTGGTGCCTGGGAATGGGAAAAGTCTAACATCAAGGCCTGGATTCCCAGGACCATGTATGGAGCCAAGACCACAGCTGGCCATCAAGGGAAGTGGGAGGTTCATTTTAGAGAATCAGTCCCCCCAAGACTAGAATGTACAAAGGACAGAAATCGCCCCTGTCTCCAGGATAACCCCAACACAGAGGCAAAGCCATTGTCATACACAACCTGGAACCTCAGGGGAGGGGGCTGTGAGGAATGCAGCTACTCAGAGAAGGCTGAAACTGCTGCCCAACATCAGGAAGTCTCCCATCCTCCAATCTGCTCCACCATCAGTCCACCATCAGAAGAATGTGGAACAGTGGTTCATGGTTGGGGGCCCCAGCTCCAGGCTCACAACTCCAACTCCAGCTCATGGGAGGGGACCAGAGCTCATGGGCTCATGGGGTTGGGGGGGGGGTGACACAGCCCCTGGACTGTTCTTTATAACCGTGTTTTCTTGATTTCACTCCAGAACAAAATAAACAATTAGTAACATTTTACATAACCATAAGTAAGCCTGAATATAAAAGGGTTCCCTAATAATGGTAGCTACTTGTTCATTTGTGTTTCCTAACAATCAAGTTGAAAAAATCAATTCTCAGGGACACCAACATGATTACCTCAATTGATTCAACACTCTATATACATGTAACAGTCTCAGAGCAATAATAACAATACTTTCAGATTAAAAAAAATTAAGGCCAAGATGGCTCAGTAGGTATAGGCAACTTGCCAAAAGGCTGATGACCTCAGTTTGATTCCTGGGGCCCACGTGGTAGAAGGAGAGCGTGGACTCCCCTAAGTTGTATTGTGATCTTCACACAAGTGCCATGGCACACACAGTAAATAAATAAAAATGTAATAAAATAAAAACCCCTAGAATTTGAAATAGAAAAATCAATTTGAATACATGAGGTACTTTATGTTTAAAGAATTTTGCTGGCCATGGTGGTGCATGCCTTTAATCCCAACACTTGGGAGGCAGAGACAGGTGGATCTCTGGGAGTTTTAGGCCAGCCTGGACTATACAGAGAGTTCCAGGCCAGCTGGGGCTACAGGGAAACCCTGCCTCAAAAATACCAAAAAAAACCACCCACAACAACCCCCTCCCCCCAAACAACAACAACAAAAAAGCATCATTTTCCACTAACAAAAACTGGATCCTTGGAGAAACTGCGATTCCAGATCAGAGAGAAGAAATATAATAACAAACCTTGAATTTATAACATCAGCAATAGACTTGGGAGCCAACTTGAAGGGTTTCCACTAGCCAAAGGTAGGAGAGTTTGATTCTTAATAATTCCAAGGAAACTATAGAACTTAAAAATGTTTGGCCTAGTATGATGGGACAGACCTGAAATCTTAGGACTGTGGAGGCTGAGGCAGGAGGTTTATAAGTTTGAGGCTATACTGGGCAAAATAGTAATTTCCTGCCCAAACAAACACAAAAACCAACTTAAGAATGTTTATGTCTTTATGGTCATAAATGCTACACAAAAAACGTGCCCAAGCTATACCACTTTTGGTTATTTACCCAAAAGAACACCAAGTCAACATATCGTAGAGATACTTGTACGGCAATGTTTATTGCAGAACTATTCACAATAGCTCAGTTATGGAACCAATGTAGGCATCTAACAGAAGGATGGATAATTTTTTTTAATTTTAAAAAATGTTAATTTTTTATTTTTTAAAATTATGTGTGCATCTGTATGTGCCTCTGTGCATGTGAATGCAGTGCTGGAGTTACAGGTTTCTGTGAGAAGCCCAACATGGGTGCTGGGAATGGAACTCAGGTCCTCTGGAAGAGCAGCATGCACTCTTAACCACTGAGCCATTTCTCCAGCCCAGGTAATTTTTTTTCCAGTCACAAAGAATGGTCATGTCATTTGCAGAAAAATGGATGTAACTGGAGATCATCATATTATCTGAATCACGCCAGTCTCAGAAAGACACAAGCATCTTAAGCTTTCCATTTGTGTTTTCTAGATTTTATGTAGATACATAAAATCATGTATGAAAACATGATGTGGAAGTAGAAGGAAAACTGTCTAGGGGAACAAGGGGACTAATGAGAGGAAAGGAATGAGAAGGGGGAGAGTGGAGGGGCATGAGAAGAAATATGCTTAATAATACAATATATACTTGTACAAAATCTTTAATTTAAAAAGGATATAACTTATTGGTCACCTTCAGAAGATGCTATAATATCAGTTTGAAAACTGATAAATTAATAAAACCTCAAACACTTTTCCTGTCTTTTTGGTAGATGGTAACCACTGGGAATCCTACCAGTGGCCATATCCTCAAAGAACAGTGATTCTCCCTTCCCCAGCAACCATCAACTGCCAATAGCTCCTCCTTGGTAAGGGGTGGGGCCTGGAGATCATCTACCCTATCTGTCAGAATTCTGGCTGGATTGATTTGTGCAGGTAACCATGGTTGCTGTGAGTTTCTCCATACTCATGCATACATGCGCAGCACTAAGTGCATGTCCAGTGTTGTAAGTTGGGGGAATCGGTTGAGGGAGATATGGGAGGAACTACAGGAGGGAATGAGAGTAAAGTCTAATCATATTTCAGTGCATAAATGTAAGAAATTCTCAAGAATAAGGAAAAAAATTTAAAAATTACCATTTTGCAGCTATTAATGAATTGGCTTAAGCACTAATTACCAATAACTAATAAGATAAAAGAGAGATAACCATGCACGACAAACCTGATGGAAGTAATTAGGAATGAAAAAAAAAAAAGCTCTGAATCTGATCCAGTTTACAGATCTAATTCCCAGCTTACCAGAAAACAGGATAGAGAACTGTATTAAAATACTCCAATGGGCTATTAAACAGCAAAATCCAGAATGAAGAAAAAAATCAAAGGTCAAATATGACCCGGTTACTTAAAAAACAACTATGAGTAGGAAAAAAGAGAAATGAAAGGACATCATCTATAGCCAAGAGACAAGCATTGATAGCTATGAGTACACCTTGCACCCAGATCCTGACCTTTAGATGCTGTTCTCACAGGAACCAGAGACCTTTGCAGAGGTTGCTGATTCCAAGTCTGAAAAAGGGAAAGTATAAGGCAAATGTGGAATGTATGCTTGTGTTAGAAAGTATCCCTATAATATTAAAAAAATTATAGGGACATGCCAAAAACGTAGGATACCCAGTCTGAAGAGACTAGTCAAACTGAAGACAATTTGAACGCAAAAAATAAATAATGACAGTAATGGATGCTGACACACTAAAAAATGAAAATCAACCATCTTAGTAATAGCTGAATTAAGCAAGAATCATGAGTGAATGTTAAAGCCACTGGGTAAAAGATTTTGAGAAATGAAATAAGATTTTCACAGTTTAGTAATTCCTTAAAATGTTAAATGTAGAATTGCTGGATAGTAAAGTCTCAATACAATTTATCTATGCAAAAGAAATTAAGATCATATATTACCAAAAAAACTTTTTTTTGTCTTATTGAAACAAGGTCTCCCTGTAGCCCCAGCTGGCTTGGAACTCACTATATAGAACAGGCTGGCCTCGAACTCACAGAGATCCACCTGCCTCTGCTTCCCAAGTTCTGGGATTAAAGGTTTGCACCACCACACCCAGCTTCACAAAAACTTCTTATACATGAATGTTCATAGCAGCATTACTCGCAATAACCAAAAAGCAAAACCACCCAAATGTCCATCAACAGATGAACAGACAAAGTGTGCACAGTGGAATATTCCTCCATAAAAAGAAATGAAGTATCAATCTATGCTATAGCATGGACAAACCTAGAAAATATGTCCAATGAAAGAAACCAGAACCTAAAGGCCACATTTTTTTTGTGATTAGATTTATGAAATGCCCAGAAGAGGTAAAAGCCCAGAGATGGAAGGTACATTAGTGATTGATAGAGAATGGGAGAAAACAAGGACGGAGAGTGACTGCTGGAAGAGGGGCTTCTTTGAAGGTAATAATGTTAGAGTTAGTGCTGACTGCACAACTCTGCATAGTCTAAGAAACACTGAATTGTACATTTTTAAAAGGCTGAATTTTATAACAGTGAATTATATCTCAGTGAAGAGCATCAAGCTGAGAGTATAGCACAAAAAGAAAAGTAAGATGCTTTAGGAGTGTTAATCTGACAGGAATAGCTAAGCTGAACAGAAGAATGTACTTAGAGAATTCAGTCTGTGATCCTGGCTTCAGATGAGAAGCATGGAAATGACAGGGTCAGGGAGTGGTGGCATTTAAAAGACTTGCATATTGGGGGCCAGAGAGATGGTTCAGAGGTTAAGAGCACTGGCTGCTCTTGCAGAAGACCTGGGTTCGGTTCCCAGCATCCACATGACAGTTAACAACTGTCTGTAACTCAAGTTCCAGGGGATCTGATGCTCTCTTCTGGCCTTCGTGGATATTGCACACATGTGATATGCAACATGTAGGCAAAACACTCATATTAAATAAATAATGAATGACTGACTGACTGACTGAATAAATGAATAAAAGCCTGTGTTAAAATGGCTGGTCTTTTCAAAAAACAAAAGACCTGCATATGAGACAAAAAAAACTGTGTATAAACTTGCCAGGGAATACTAACTTAAAGGCAGTGATCTGGTGTGTGGAAAGGACAGGAGAAAGATTGTTAGTCTTATGTGTGAAGTGGACACATCCCTGTCTTCTAACAGCACCAAAGGGCTACAATCTTTTCCACAGACATTCCTGAAAGCTTTCACAAGGCCTTGTCTGCCAGTATGGGGAAACTCATGTGCTCAGAGCCTGTTTCAATCCTACATACCTGGAAAGTTCCAAATTGGAATTTTCCCATTGTCTGGGCCCAGCTCTTCCACCTCCAGCTTGAGGATGAGGTCTGGTTTAGTAACCTGTTGATCTGGAGATGAGCAATGATAGATACCTCCTTGGTCTTCAGAGCCTGAAACAGAGGGAATTGCAATTTGGAGACTGCACAAGGGGCCTGTAACTTGATGCAAATAATTTAACCAGTGTTTTGCGTTTCCTTTAAGGAAAGAAAAATGTGAAATTGAAAAAGCAAAGGTCCTTCACTGGATACAATAACCATCAATGGCAAAATTACCTGAGGAAGCCATCTTACCCAAAGAGACCAAGTTGCTGTAGGTCTCAAGCATCACATTTCTGTAAAGGGTCCTCTGTGGCGGGTTCAGGTACTGCCACTCCTCCTGGGTGAAATCCACAGCCACATCCTCAAATGTCACTAGTTCCTGAAATGGCAAGTTCTTTTATTCTAAAATGCTGACCACTGTGTGATGACAGAATTTGAGGAGCTTCTGATTGAGCTGCCAGTTCATCATAATGACTTAATGTAGGATGTCTACATTGTAACAAATTGGCAGCCTACTTTTTAGGGAAATCACAATCATGAGGGAAAAACTATTCCATTAAGTAACAGAATATTTAAAATGATGTGATATTACCACAAGGACAGCTATCTAAGGGAAGAGAATCCAAATGTATATAAAGGCTGGAGAAATGGCTTGGTGGTTAACAGCACTTGCTCTTCTAGATGACAGGATCTCAGTTCTCGGCACCCAACCCTTGTTGGGTGGCCTATAAATCTAGATCCAGAAGATCTAATTCTTTCTACTGATCTACCTGGTCACCTGCACACACATGGCATACACTCACTTACTCATTCACTCATTTACACACAAATAAAAACAAATCTTTCTAAAAGATATTTTATTTATTATTTTTATGTGTATGAGTACATTACCTGCATGTGTGTAAGTACACTTGTGTTGTGCAATGCCCACAGAGGTAAGAAGAAGGCATTGGATTCCCTATAACTGGAGTTAAGGATGCCATCTGGGTGCTGGGAATCGAATATGGGTCCTCTGTAAGAGCAGTCAGTGCTCTTAATTTCTGAGCCATCTCTCCAGCCCCAAATAAAAATTAAATCTTAAAAAAGAATCCAAATGAGTGTAAACTCCCAACTTATGACAAAGTTGACATAGTAAGCAGTTCAATAAAAAAAAAAAAGTGTCGAAGCCAGGCGTGGTGGCGCACGCCTTTAATCCCAGCACTCGGGAGGCGGCGGCAGGCGGATATCTGTGAGTTCAAGGCCAGCCTGGTCTATATAGTGAGTTCCAGGACAGCTGGGGCTACAGGGAGACCCTGTCTCAAAAAAGACAAAAAATAATAATAATAATTCAGCAACATTAAAAAAAAGTGTCGAGCATTTCTAGAAGTTTTCTGGTAGAATTTGGGGGAATCTCTTATGTTTATCATATCTGCAAAAAGGGATAATTTGACCTCTTCTTTTCCAATCAGTACTCCTTTAATTTCCTTCTCTTGTCTTATTGCTCTAGCAGGAGTTTCAAGCACTGTATTGAAAAGGAGTGGAGACAGTGGACAGCCTTGTCTGGTTCCTGATTTTAATGGGAATGCTTCCAGTTTTTCTCCATTTAGAATGATGTTGGCTGTGCCGTTTGTTGTATATAGCCTTAATTATGCTCAGGTATGTTACTTCCAGTCCAATTCCCTCTAGGGCTTTTTTAAAAATCATGAATGCATGTTGGATTTTGTCAAAGGTCTATTCTGTGTCTATTGAGATGACCATGGGATTTTTGTCTTTAAGTCCATTTATTTTATTACATTTATTGACTTATGTATCAATATCATCTCTCCAGCCCCTAAAACTACAGTATTTGCAGGGGAAAAGATATGGGATAAAGTCCCTAATTTTGAGTTAGCCAAGTATTTCCTAGCTATAACACCAAAATTGCAAAGACACTCTTAAAAGATAATGAAAAGACAAATTACAGAATAGAAGTAAATATTTACAGATCAAATATCTGGTAAAGAAGTCACCTTGAGAAAAAAAAATATATAGTGTATATATATAAAAGTGGAATACTTTACCAAAGACATATGAATGGCAAATAAATACAAAAAGTTGTTCAACATCATGACTTATGAGGAAACTAAATTAAAATCACAACGAGATGCCACTACATATCAGGAAGAATGGGAAGACAGACATGCAGATTGATACAATGGAGGCATGAATGTCATGGGTATAACCAATGACTTTCTAATTGAATTTAAGGCCTGTTCCACAAAATGAAGCCCACCCCTGGCACTGTTACTGGGGCCAAGAATGTGTGGTTAGACCAGTCATAAGCCCTAGGGGAGAACCTACTATTCTCTTAAATGATACAGTACTAAACTGACTCCTAATGGCTTATCATTATACCAATAGATTAGCACATCTCTCAACCCCCATCAGAGAAGTTTTTTTGGCAGTAGACAGCAATTAACACCGAAACCCACAACTGCTCAAGGTTCACAGAATAAGAGACTATGGAATTCTCAGCCCTAATGGGAGACCTATATCATATCCTCTCCTCCCAAGGCTCAGGGATCACTGTGGAAGAGGGGGAGGAAAAATTATAAGAGCCAGAGGTAGTAGATGACTACAATGAAATAGTGTTTTTCTGGACACAACAGGGCAGTTGGAAATATGAACTCCCAGCAGTTGTGACAGCATACACAAGATCTGAGCAAGATTAAGCCAGACAAAAATCCCAGCATGGAGAGGAGAGGTGGGAATGATGTCCCACCCCTAAATGAGGAACTAATGGCAACTGATAGATGCTGGGAGAGGGAAAGTCAATTGTTCTTTAAGAGTATGTGGCTCCTGGTAGGTCAGATGGCCATACACCCAAGTGAAACTAAAAAGTGGAATACTTCATCAAAGACACATGAATGGCAAATAAAATTGTTTGACATCATTACTTATGAGAGAAGTATAAATTAAAATCACAATGAGATGCCATTACACATCTGTCAAGATGGGAAGACCAACATGCACATTGATACAAAGGTGACATGAATATCATGGGAGTAACCAATGACTTTTCTAATTGGACTTAAGGCCTGCTTCATAAGATAAAACCCACACTTGGCACTGTTTTCACTTCATTGGGTGGTCACATACCCAAGAGTATATGGGCAGCACAAACTGGACTGAATTTGAAAAATAAAAAGGACACAAAGTTGGATGGGTAGGGAAAGGAGATAGATGTAGGAGGAGTTGAGAGAGGTGTGAATATGATTGAAATATATTATATGAAATTCTCAAAGAACTCATAAAAAGTGAGGAAGGAAGAAAAAAGAATGGAAGGACCTGATAGGGTCAAGTGCTAGTGTATATATGAAGCAGCTGGAGCTCTGTCATCATACACAGGAAGGTAGAAACAGGATAGGCCTTTGGAAATGGTTTTCCAGGTTTTTGTAAAGATAAGCTTATAACCCTGAAATCATACTCTTATGTGTATTTACTTCAATGAAATGAAAACCATGCAGACCAAAAAGTCTATAAATGAACAATTACTTTCTATCACCCAAACCTGAAAATAACCTAAGTACTTTTCAGCCAGTGAATAGATAGACAACTTGGAAACCACATAATGTCATACTACTAAGCAATAAAAATGAAGGAATTTACACAGATGAATCTTACTTGTACTGTACTAAGTAACAGAAGTCAAACTCAAGAGAGTACCTGTTGTAAGTTTCCATTTGTGTAACTAATGGAAAAGTCAAAACTGGAGAGAGAATATATACCAGTGATTAGGTACAAGGTGCAACCAGGGGCTGAGTATAAATGGGAATGCATTGGGAAGTGATAGAATGCTTGTCTCCATTGTGGTGATGGTTACATACCTATGGGTTTATTAAAATTAACAGAGCTGTACACTAAAGGGTTTTTATTTATAAATTATATCAAGGTTTTTTTTATTAAAGATTAAGGAGTCTCCCCTATTTCCTGTGATCTGTCTAGTCACAGGTTCTTGGCCCCGATAACAGTGTCAGGTATGGACTCCCTAGTGTGAAACAGGGCTTAAATCTGACCAGAAGGTGGTTGGTTACTCTCATAACATTTATGCCACTATTGCACCAGTGGGCATCTCTTTCCAGGCCAGTTGTTATAAGTTTTCTCTACTGAGTGGGGGTAGTAAGGTAGTGGTGGAGAGGGGGTCTGAATATGATCAAAATACATTGTATGAAATTCTTGAATCCCTAAAAATATTTTTAAAAATAAGGGTCTTCCAAGTAATATAGAATAATTGCATTTGCATAAATACAAATCTCCATATGGGGACTTGAGATGTAACGTAGTAGTAGAGCACTTGTTTAGCATGCACAAGGTTTGGGTTCAATTGGCAGCATTGGGGGAAAAAAAAATCCAACCTGCTAAAAACCCTTCAAATCCCTCCATACAACCTCAAAACAAAACCAAACAAACAAAAAACCCAAACAACCTATATAGGTCAACACAATAAAACCACACATAGCCAATACTTTCTTTATAATGCATAATACAAAACAGAGACGAATACACATTTCTAATTACCTATAAAGAAAAAAATATGGATAAGCTATCTTTCAAACTCTTGCCATGAACTGCTCTAGAGTATGAGAGGGGTCTGAAAGCCACAGCAGAGGAGAGTGGAGCTGAAATCATATTTACAAAGATGCCCAGTACCTTGCCATCTATGTGTATGAAATTATTGAAAAACTGACCAGATATATCAGAGAACCAGGTGTAGGAAAGATGTGTGGGACCCAAGGAGACAGTCATTTTGAAGAACACTTCTGAAGGGGAAAAGGGTTAACATAGCTAAGGAAGAGTTTCATGTTAGATAGATAGGGCAATGGCAGCAAAAATACTAGAGGGGGAAATTTAGTAAGTTACGGTTCAAATGTGAAATGTCCCTCATGGTGTTGTAAACATTTGCTCCTCAGCTGGTGGCACTGCTTTGGGAGGTTATGCAGCCTTTATAAAATGCCACCTGGCTGAGGAAAGTAGGTCACTAGAGATAAGGGCACATATATGGCCAGGACTAGACACATACACATGACTTAAGGCTAATCTCCAGAATCCACACAAACATACTGAGTGATAGAGGAGTGGCCTACGAACAAGAGTCTCTCTCTCCCTCCCTCTCCCTCTACCTCCTTCCCTCCACCCTCCCTCTCTCCCCCTCTCTCTCAGCTCTTGATGTTGAAGAAACTTATTTCTGAGCCAAAGACAAAAAGGATAAAAGCGAAATGATTTAAAAAAAAACATTTTCCATGCAAATGATATCCAAAAGACAGCTGGGCTGGCTCTACTGATATCAGACAAAAGAGACTTTAAGTAAAAAAAACTTCCAAAGAAACAAAGACACTTTTGATAAATGGGCAATCAATTCTG